CGCGGATCTACTATTGACTTATGATATCCGGCAACGTTACTCGTGGAACTTGAGATAGTGAATCTCATAAGATACCCAGTCATCGTCATCATCATACAGCGAAACACAGTGAAGTGAACTTCACCTTAGTTCAACTCACAGAGTACACAATGTTACTACTCATATACATCTGTTCAAGCGTTTCAGTCTGATAGGAAGTGGCAACATGAACACCACTGCTGTCTGTTCGTTGCCATATTCTTCAGAGTCTCCACTTAACCATTTACAGAGCTTCCTGGACCCCAGCCTGGAAGTCGGGGGACACCTGCTCTATCTAATCGCTTTGTGCATTTCTTCCTACCGCGTCTCCGTGTCATTGGTTGACCTCCACGTGATTTCCTCCATCAGGGAGCAACAAAGCAAATAAGGCTCTTGACGGCAGATGACGAAACAATGTGTCCTTAGTAGGATAAGCATGGTACTGATTCGGACGGCTGAAACGCTGACTACCATCAAAGGAACACTGGTGATGGCAACTTGAACCTCTTGATTACCACCACCTCTCACTTAACCGGTTTTCCATAGTTAGATAAAAATTCTATAGTTTTAGAGTTTACTTCATAAGACGATCAACAATCAACCATACTGACTTTTTTCCTTCAACAATAAATATTTGGAGTAACAAAACTACATTATTGGTTATTTAACCCATGTTTTCCCCCGTTTCATGGTTTTTGTCATATAAGTAGATTATAGTGGTACTTGTATCTCTGATAATCGGTTCCTGATGGGATAGTTGACCATTGTTTCACCATTTTTTTTACCTTCAGCCTCTTTGGATGTCGTTTTGGATAGATTGGAGACCGCCAATTTTCCGGTTAGTTTATACCAAACATTGTGTGCATCGCTCTCGTCTGACGGAGCCACATTATGCCGATCTGGCTTATTGCTTTGTTTCTTTGTTGTTAACATTGTCTTACATATATATGTGGTTGGTTGTCATAGTTACAGTCAACCCGAGTTGCTCTTATCGATGTGTGTGTGTGTGTATGTGTGTGTTTAATCTGCTCCATGTACCCGCATGTGCTATTAGCATTCCCTTATACATCGAGCAAATCATTTCGTCAACTCTTCGATTACTTTGTGATACAACGAGGTTTCATGAAACTCTTATCGCGTAGGATAGAAACACCGTGGGTTTTGCCAGTCCTATTATTTGGGTTTGCCATTACGAGTGCACAGAAAGAGTGAAAGCGATTGATTCAAACAAAAGGTGGTTTATTCAATGGTTTGTACTTTGCACTTTTAGTTGAAAAGGAACAACTTTGTAAACGATTTTCCAAGTGAGAGACGCACGGCGTGAAACAAACCATAAGGAATGCATCAGGGAATGCCAGATCAGTACGTGAATGGCCGTTTCATTTGTGCGGCAAATAGTCATTCCTTTCACCCTGACGGAGACGAGGTTTTTTAATCATCAATAAACAGGTTGGAACTTTGTGATTGGCGAGAAACGTAATTGCACCAGTTACGAGTCATGTTGCGAGAATGAATCAGTGCACAAATCAAAATAATATCATAATTTACCCCTTCAATTATAAACCTTCAATGGCTTTTAGTGCACAATTGAATGTCGTAGTCGCTCGTGCATCATTTCAATTTCTTTGCAACCTTGGCCTATTGGAATTCTCTATTCTTTCTTTGACACTGCTTTCAACTTTTCAGTCTTCCCTCTATCCCCTCATCCGAATGGTCAGTCAAAAGACAGTAATCACCGCGCAAAAGTGCAGTCTTAATGGTCGTTCAAAATGAAAGTGAAACTGCTTATAGCAGGCCGGTGATATCGGTCTGGTTGTTCATCTCACTCATATCCGTTTCTTCCGCACACAGGCACAAACGAAAATACACGCACTTAATCCAAATGATTTAATGCTTCATAGCTGGATACAGTTTGAGACTCCGTCTTGCCGAGCTACGATTCGAATAGACAGGTCAAGGTCGAATCCCTTTGATCGATGAGAGTCTTCTCACTCATGCTGAGTCGTGATCGGATAGCCCGTCGGAGCAATGATCAACTAAATGGACACTGTACACCAACTTCGGACTTGTTCTTATTGAAAGGAAAATATATATCCCACCATATTCCACCGCATATTACCTCGAATAGGATGTATATTTATACTGTTGAGTGTTCGATGATTGCCATGATAATGGTCACAAGGATCAACAGCAGTCGTTGCGTATTACTACTCTGTCAGTGATTACAATGTGAATGGCATTTTGTTGATAACGATAGCGTTGCAATATTGCTTAATCCGTTTCACATACTCTGTAATCACTCATTGCCGTTTTCCCGTCTAAGCTGTACTACCACTGCTACAGTGTATCAGCCTATCCTAGTGGGGCCTTATGCGGTTCGCCACTCCAAGTCCCGGGGATTACCGGTTTCCATCACTAAAAGCAGGTCTACGTGACTGTAGGGTTCATCCCGTCTACTATCCATCATACAAAATGTGTGCAATTAAAAAGTATATCGGAGAGCTTCCCTCCTGTTTTGACCCTTATCTTGCCGAATGAACTTTACTTCGGTAGAGTGGATAACCTGTGGTGCTTAGCGGATAGTATGAAATAGTTAGTCTGGAGTGTTATTATTCTAAGAAATGTATCTTGTATTTATTTTTGTAGTCTCAGTTTTGTTTATCGATTTCTAATGGTTGGATAATTTGGTCTGAACATGCGGTGGCTCTGAGAAAGAATAAACTTACATTCCTCCTTTTATTGATCAACACGTGTGAGGGCTGAGGCTGATCGACCTCTCCTTGTGCCTCGCGAAATGCTGCTATACGATCAGGCGTCTCAAATGGCCTCTGCTGAGGAGATCCTACTGATCGACTTCCTGTAGCCGTGGTTTTCGCATTAACATGAGAATGCGAAAATCCAACAGTCGGGTCTATAACCAGGTTGGTGAATCATTGATAGTTGACCTGGCATGAGCTAGTTGGCATATTGACAACACACGCGATGGGTCCGGAGTTCACATCCCAACCGGGAAGGTGGATATGCACTACTGATGCACTACTAATAAGAGCGAAACTCGAGTCTAGTGCTTCCGTGTGTTTGGTTGACTGGAAGGGCTGAGGAGTGTGCCTGGAGGTGAAGCCTCATGGATGATATATATATATATATATATGCCTCTCGTAAAATGTCATCTTTTTGTGTCGCTCCTGACATTGGATCTACTGTCCAACATTTCCATTACAGGCAATACGAACTGGTGACAAGAATAACGATTCTCTCCTTTCTTATTTTGATCCGCTTGCATCACGTCCCAGTGGTAAGTGAGGTGAACTTTTTATCCTGAAGATGTGTTCGTCCAGTCCGATGTACTCACATCCACCTTTTTTCCTGGTTCTTCGATTGCAGAACCCTCGAATTTGTTGACCGGTGAACCTATGCATCATGGGAAAAATCTCATCACTCCGACCAATCCGTGAGCTGTTTGATTTACTTGTGTTTTATTCACCCGTGATCACATTTGATGTGGATTATTATATTACATTTCCCAAACCGTCAAAAAGTATCCAAATCTGTGTTTCCGACGACAGAAGCGGTAATCCAATCCCAGTGAATCGACGTAAGACCTCATTTAGATGGATCTACTGTTAAGTTTGACTACCATGAAGTCCAAATTGTTTGGCAGATTTGAAGTTTGGATGTCGATTGTGAGAAGTTCAGTAGCATCGGCGGGGGNTTCGAACCCACGCATTGACGCCGCCTACGCTTTGTAAGCGCACACTCTACCAGCTGCGTCCATGCTTGGGTTCGAATCCCACCGGGGCTACTGAAATTTTCACAATCGACATATAGACCATGAAGTCGTCTATCATCGATCGAAGCTGACATTTAAAATTCGAGCCTCGGGTTTTTCGATATATTGAAGGTCATTCACAGAAAACAAAATTGACCTCTGCTGAAGAAACCCTGCTCACTGTCTCCCTGGGACAGAGGTGTTTCCCTACTAAAGTGAAAGAACAGAGACACAACATTCGGGACTATAAATGGGTCGGTGAACCACTTGCAATTCAGCTAAGGAAGCTGTTTAAAAATCCTGGTGCCCAGCCAACCAAAAAGAGACATGCGAATCACACTTCACCTGCTTGGTTGAGGATCGACATGCACTGGGCATGTTGGGCGTTTGACCTCATTCAAAAAGCGTGATCCATCGGATCAATGCCGGACACCGGCCCCCAACGGACTGTGGTTTTCGCACACCACCCCGCTGCCTTGCTGTTTCGACTTTGTTTTTTATTACACCCTTTCGTGTGACGGGGTAAGCCCCATAATCACGAGGACCTGCTGTTCGGTGATGGAAACCGGTAACCTAATCCCCGAGACTTGGATTGGCGAGCCACATAAGACCCCCAATAGGTTATCCGAAGACTCCGGCTGTTAATTCCCTGAAAGAAAATATACCTCCCTTGGCCTAGGTGGCCAGCAATTTCCCGTCCACGTGCAAACCATGGACTTTTCTTGTTATCAATAAGATTATTGTGCCATCGTTTATTTGGCACTCGGTTTCGACTCAGACGTGTGTAATAACCGGTCGTGTGCTTCCAGGAAAATTTTGTCGTCATTCATAAACTACTTATTGTGAAGTATATATATATATCCACAATGTTCAGCCACCATCTCTGTATTTTCAAGTTTTAATGCACTTATAAGATCACTGTATATTTGGCATTGGTGGATTGGTATCCACGAAATCGAACAGCAGTGCTATCGGAGGTTCATGTCTAAATAATTCCAGTTCTAATATGATCAGATTTTTCATGTTTTTTCTGTACACGACACTTATTCATCCTTCAACGAAATATAACGCTAAAAATGTTACTCTTGAGTTTCTAGGAATGCGTACTCCGTTCGTTGTCTGAGGAGAGTTTTTCTAGTGTGAGAATTCAACTTACTGACAGTACGGGGTTCCATAAAAGAGGCTTCCATTCTCTATCCTTCATTGTTACAGTGGTCTCATTCCAGACCTCATTCCTAAAGTTGTTTCTCCTTCCGACGAATGTTCCCACGGAAATATCGTGGGTCACTTGATCAGTCCTCTGAATGTGGATCCAAGCATACATCATATCACAAGTACCACTCCGGCCACACCACTGTCTACGGGTTTCACACCAGTTGCTTCGTCCGCGCTACGAACAGACGCACCTGTGTCCACCGGTCCGGCGTCTCCGTTTGTGTTTTCACCTTGGATGCATCGGAGCATATTGGATCAGGCCCTTGGTGGTGGTGATGGTGAGCGTTCTCCGGAGTGGACTGAACCAACAGAAACCGAGTCTGCTTCAGCTGCCCAGCCACTTGTCACGGACAATCCAGTCCTACCGGAACCCTTGCAATTATCTACCTGCCAATCGGACACAACCGCGCAGACAGACTTATCGCAGTCGTATGCATCGGCTGTCGCTTTATCCGATGCCGGAGATTTTGACATGCTTGCCTCGTTATTGGAGCGTGTCAACGTGCGTCAAGAGGAGGCGGATTCAAAATTGGACGACAGTAGTGGTTGTCTAACAGGCGAAACAGCTTATCTGGAACGAACACCCGGCAAGTGATGTATTTAAGAGAACTTTGTCTCTTAAATATTCTTTATGGATTGCTTGGGTTTTCATGTCAGAACATATGGTTCGTCTCACAATCAACCAATTCGGCTAACCAAGCTTAGGGTCATTTTTTCTTTTTTTCTGCTTCCTTTTGTTGAAAATGCATATATAATGAAGCAACTAGTTTTCTAGGAAGGGAGAAGCGGGAAATTAAAGGGTCGCCATACAGAAAATGGGAAACGTTAAGCCGCGGTAATGGGACTCGAACACGCTTCCTCCGAGGTGGTAATTGGTAGACCCCTAACCACTTGACCACCACCACTCGGATTAGTACCAATTAACGTTCGTAGGTAGCCTAAACACGAACCCAACTTGGAACGTTCATGTTTCAAGTTGATCTGGTTTGATGCGTCTTTTAAAGACAGTCTGTGAACATACCGACTGGGTGTTTACTACTTTAGTGCTACTGGACTCCGTGTCATCAAACAGAAGTGTTCTCCTGCTCACTACCAGAATAACTTCCTGTTCACCACAATGTGTAGTAGATTTTATCACAAAATCTCATCTTTACCTATTCTTTTATAGATAGAATTCTTCTCCCGCCGGTCGCACCTGACACATACAATGTTCACAGTCGATCTAACCCGTCGAAGTATACCCATCCCATTCAACACCCATCTGTACATGCGGAACCAATTGAACCGAGCCCGACTATGCAACCCACACCCCAGGCTCGTCGACGCACAATCAATCTGAACAGTGCGTCTGCCTTAGCCCCGATTGTGGACGCGGTTTGTCCATCACTCAATTTTTCAGACTGTGCTAAGACAACAACGGATTCGCAGTCGGGTCGTCTTTCGATTGGCAGCATTTCGGACATGGTCACCATGGCAGCACGTTCACTGTATGACCGAATCGGTGGCAATTCCGGCCTGGTCGCCAGATCGCCAATAGCGATGCCTGTCGTACCGATAGTCTCCTCGCCAGCTGTCCAGCAGACATTGCCGAAATTGACCGATCCACTGGAACCACCTAGCTGCTGTTCGAACCTCAGTCCTAGCAGTATGGCTCCAGGTGTTCAGTCTGTGGACGAGGATGTTTGGGAGAGTGTGAACTCCGAAAATGAACTTCGTTCAACAATGGTCATTGACACGTCGATTCGTAGTATTGCGGGTCGTACCTTTGAGTTGTCCGATGAGAATAAGGAAAACATTCACGTGCCGCAGGTTAGTGCTGGTGGGCTTGTGAGTTTTTGAAAACCCAGTTGATGTTTATTCACGTACTTCCCCAGAAGAGTTTTTCGGTTCTCGATCATCTGCTTTGATATCTGTTGAAGATAATGGCGAAGGCAATAATAAAGAATTTGTCACAAGGTACACCGTTCTATTTGTGTTACGGACACACTGCAGTTTATCATAGTCTGGCGTACATCTACCCAAAGTGGTCGGCACTCGCAGTTCTTTTTTCGCATTCATTCAAAGTGGGCCCAGATCTATTCCCACTAATTTGTGTGTGATTATATTAGAATAAGATTCCACGTTACTCCCTTATTCGTCCAATGAGGTCATCTTTTAAGTGACTTTAACTAGGTCAGCTTTAACTGGTGACTACACCAAAACCCACAATGCTTCAGCCACGACCCGTAGCCCCTTCGCCTCGACGCGCAAACTTTAGTCATAACACTGTAGGCGAATCAGATCGAAAAGTAGCGGAATATTCCAAGTTCAACGAATGTTGAAATAATTTATTTTCTACAAATGTGTTGCAAAGCTTGGTCAAGGGATGAGGTTTGGCGGTCGCACATTGCGCCACGTGCTGACTGGAGGTTCAAACGATGTACCCGTATCGTCAAACCATTTGACACATCTCGTGCAGCTTCAGTGTTCGCAAAACCCCCTTTAGTACACCTTTTTCCATCAATCTTTTGACAAAACCTGCAATTCTCGAGCTTTAACCATGTTGATTATGTCAAATATTGCAGCGTTGCTAAACTGATGATAGTAATAGGGGTGTATTTTGTGAACGGTGTTTATCATCTTCTCACTAGTAATGCATCCCTCTCTTATGAACAGTGTACCTTTTTTAGTAGAGATAGGGAGCGGTAAGCATTTACCTTTTTGTGGTATCACTCTTTGATTTATTTTAGGGCTTGTGAATGCAAAACAATGCACCGTTGGTGTTACATTTGAGATTTCTACTCACAGGAGTATTGCACGCATACGGAATAACCGACAACACTAAAGGGAACCCCATTTGGATAAGCGCAGTGATTCTCCACGTAGCTGCTAATCTACCATTTTGGGGTGGGCGATGGTTCATCGTCTATTCTTCACTTTCTTAAAAACTGAAGTAAAGAAACAAGTCAGAAACACGAAAGATCCGGGCTATCACGTTGGATACCCGATATCATTAGTTCCCTTTTGGCCTATCATTTAACATCAGTGTATATTCTCTGGTCACCTGGGCATCGTCACATTTCCGTAAACATGTCGTCAACCTAGTTAGTTTCGGGAAAGTAGTTATGTTAATCACAGAATTCAATATATGCCTGATTTTTGAATTTGAACCAGTTTAACGAGGTTCAAAGACGTTCCAGTACTAGTGGGAAGGATTAGTGCCCGACTCCAAAACTTTCACCTCATTCAGTCAGTAGAAACGGATGCGTATCATTGAGTCGTTCAACGTAACCGATAGTTCCCTAGGGTAATTAATCGGTGAGTCAGTTCATCAGTCAACTCATCAGAACTGTATGAATCGTTGGTCTAGCACCTACTGTCCACTTTCTATATTCTATCCGTTTCATTCCGCTGTTTTCTCATTGTACTACCTACCTTATTTGCTGTTTACCCTTCCAGATGATAACTTGTAAGTGTCCGAAAGGGGCTTTCGAATATTTCCCATTTGCTCACTGAATGCTGTTCCTATACACACTATTCAAGGTACTTCACATGCCTCTTGATTCAACTGTCTCTAGCTCCATCATACTTAACTCTCACCACGATATCATCTTGGATTTTTTTTTCATTTTCTCACTACGCATAAAGATTTGTTTAATATGGTGATGTAATTAATGTAATTAATTAAACTACACTAATACTCATGCTCTATCATTGTGCTGCACATGATTAAGGAATCCATTCCCGCCAAGAGACAATTATCTTTGTGGCTTTTATCCATCTTCGATCCGCACGGATGTAACAATACCACACTCATCGTTTCGGGATAGCGACACTTGAGTGTGCTATCCCGCACATCGTGATTGTTCCAAATTTCTTTTCCGAGGACTTTGCACCCTGCCAAATCTGATTCGATGATTTGACATCGAATCATGCACACATGTGCAGTGGGTCTCTGTGTAGATTCCCACAATCCATAATTCGTTTGTTCACGGTGCTTATTTGTTTGCTATTCGTTTCGTAGTTGCATCGATTTCCTTCATTGTTTTTTTGGTAGTTTGTCCGTCTGTCTGTCCCATTTTTTAACAGTAACTCAGTTACTGCGGAACATGTTTGACCAATAGTACCCAGTCATTCTCTCGACCGGTCAACTATCAGAGGTCAGTAAATTTGAGGCCTAAGAGTTCAGGGATCGGCACTTGGTTTAAGTAATCAGATTAGTTCATGACTCTATTTCCTGTGGTCCTTGGGTGGAGTAGCACGCTACCCGCTCTAAATAGAAAGGCCTCTAGACTTGTCGCTGAATTTCGGTCGCGGACGATCAATGGCGATGCGTCAAGGGTGAAAGTTTTTGCCCCGGCATGCGCGCTCTCTCTTCGATGTATTTCGCCCGCCATTAAACACATCCTCACTGTTAGCTCTTGGTCGTGCAAGGGCTACAGACGAGTAGGACTGAGATGCCACTTTGTATCAAGATTCTTCATGGATTCCTCCATGAAGCTGACCTATCTTCACCCAACAGAAAGTCGTCTAAAGAACCAATCAAAAACTTGTCCTCATTTAAAATAGAGTCATGTCGAATGGAAGAGTAAATGAATGATTGTAGGGGGAAAAGTACCATTCTCTTTTCGGGATATTTCATTCGTTTGTTTGGCTATTACAGCCACCAATCTTCCGTGCACCTCTGAATAAGCCTTGTAGTCTCGCACACTACTGGCGAACTCATTTATCTTTCTGTATTTTGTGATTTGATTTGCTACTCTTTATCCTTTTTCCTCCATATTTCAATCATTTTCCCACCACTTCTGATCACATAAACTCCTTCATACATCANTGCATGCATCCATGCACTGGTGAACCACCGATATCCTTGCGTGTGCTCCTCCTCCGGGAGCAATTTGGTTTATTTTATTAAATTGTTGTGCTGTTTATTCCGGTACATTTCACTGCCTATCATTTTGTGTGCGTTAGCGTGGCCTGTACTCGTGTTTTGGCGTAACCCCTCTCGCACCTCATCAATGCATGGAAATTACACGATCTAATTTTCGTTTGGTGCTCATATAATCACTAACTAAAGCTTATCTTCCGGAACCGGATGTCACTTCTTGACACGTGACGTACAGTTCATTATGGTCTGTTCGCCTTCGCTGCTTTCGTCCCCACAGACTGACATCTCTCAGCCGTGTTATCCATCCCGCCAAAACCATCTGGGTGAGTCGATGGCTGATGCGGTATCGCCAGGGTCTAGCATGAATACTGATTCGAATAGTTCACGGCCACTCACCAGTTTCCAAAACAGCGGACTACATGAGACTCAAGCCACACCACATTTGACTGCTTCCGGGGATGGTCCAGAGGAGCTGAAGGTGTTAACCAAATTGCCTGATTCGTCTGTTCACCAGGAGGCGGCTGTTGCAGAGATGCAGTTGTTACGTCACGAAGTTGGCCGATTACGCGCATTAGCCACCGAATTGCGGTAAGCAATAATGTTACATTTGGTATACATGGCATTACGTTCGCTGAAACTCTCACTCAGTGTCGCTAACCCTCGGCTTGATTGCTGTCACTTGCACATGCACGCACTTACTCGAACATCACTAATGCAACTCACTTTTTGTCCCTAGGTTTTTTATCACACGCCTTAGTGTGATGAACAGCAGTCGGGTCGAACCCCATAGTCACGATGACCTGATGTTCAATGATGGAAACCAGCAACCTAAGCCACGGGACTTGGTGTGGCGAACCACATAAGGCCGCGTTAGGTTAGGCGTGGTATTGAACCGGACGACAACAAAGCTATCTACCACCAAAGTTGGGTGGCGGTGGCGGGGCTCGAACCTAGAACCGCAAGGTTCAAGGCACGCTGGTGACAGCGACAAAACCACTGCGCCACGAGCACAGATTGCGATTGATCTACCGTTCCGGCAAGAACGCGCGCGGTTGCCGAACTGAGAACAGTACGGTCTTTACCCATCATGTTTGCATCAATGTTCGCTTCGCATCACGTGCTTTACCGTTTGCTATGTAGGACAACCGTGTAGGCAGGGTTCGTTACAAGAAATAGCTTCCACCTTGGCCTCAGGTTTCCACTCATCAGGTGCGGTAATACGCTTACTATCCTTTCATATGGTCTGCACCTATGCTATCAATGGGTCATCATCTCCGAAGTCATGAACAGTTTTCATGAGCAGTTACTGGAGGCTGTACCCTCGCTGCTTGACTGGCTTTCAGTCAGTAGCTTCTGTGGAAGGAGCAGCTGCTGGTAATATTTGCACTCCTTTCCGTCTAAGTAGGACAGACCCCAGGAAAATAAGCGTAAGTGAGGTAATTAAGCAATCCGGTTGCACATTGATTCATCATCAGCGACGCCGTCTTGATCGATAGGCTGAACGTTTCGAGGCTCTGTACAACTGGCTCCCATCCACATTTGACTTATCACCCTCCCACTTCTGGGCAAACACTCGGTTGATGCCAATCCTCCATTTTAAATGGAATCTTCCCAGGAAATAAGTTATCGTAAATGAAATAAGGCCTCCGGCCCAGATGGGCTGTTAACATAGGCTCTTATTGATGGAGTTTCAACGTTGGTCTTGGAGTTAACGAAACTCCCGGGGTCGGTATAGGAGAACAAACAGGTTCTAACTGAATGGTGTGAATCGGTCATCTTACATATTTACAAGAAAGGTGATAGATCCTCTTGTGAAAACCACAGAGTCATTAGTTTGATCAATATTGTGTCTAAAATTTTCGCCGGGTTTCTACTCCATGGATTGTCTGCCGCACATGAACGATGCACGCGTGAGAATCAGGCTGGTTTTAGACGTGGTCCTGGTTGTGTTGACCCTATTTTCACCCTTCGCCAAATTCCGGAGCAGCGATGTTCTTTTCATTGATCCACCACCTCGATCTTCCTCAATCGGAAAGCGTCTTTGACTACGTCGATCACTCTAAACTCAGGTGCAGTCTCCTTATCTCTGAATGGTGTATCCGAGAAGTTCATTTCAATATTACGATCCCTTTATACTAATGGTCGAAGTAGGGCCCGAGCTCACGACACTTTTACGCCCGAGTTCACCACGGAAAGTGGTGTTTGTCAGAGTTGCCCTCTCTCCTTTCCTATTTAACTTCGCTATATGTTTGATTATGAAAACAACTATATCCTCCTGCGAGGATATTGGTATTGATTTGCTCCCAGATGGTAGACTGTGTCAGCTGTGTTATATTCCGAAAAGGCGGTGCTGGTCAAGGAGAATTCTTTATTGCAGAATACAGATGGAGGGTCACTAATTGTGCATGCATAACACGAAAAGCTCATCAGAAACATGCCTTCGCAGCACATCGCGACACATGGGACAATGGGTATAGCAGACAGTGTTTATTCTTCCCAAATATATTACTTGGTCCTTGATGGTCTTGTTCTATTTTTAATCATTGAAAGTTACCGACTACTCACAAGTGAGTAGTATCTCACAACAGCTGGACTATGTGGGCAACATTGTACTGCTAAGTGAAGATCCAAGTAAGTTACAAGCGTTTCTGGATACTTTTGTTGCTAGCGTAACTATGTCCGGTACGCGTTTTGCACCTTCAAAGTGTAAAATGTTTCTGTAAGACTGGGTTGGTTCAGCACCTAGTCTTATTCTTATTGGGATGTTATGGAGCAAATGGACAAGTTTTGTTATTTGGTCAGCTATATCTCACTCGGATGAAGTGTCAGCTGGCAAACAGAAGGCTAGATTGGCATTTGCCAACTTGAGAGATTTGTGGTACCGTCGCGACATTCGGTTGTCCGTGAAGGGTCGAATGTATGCCGCGGCAGTTCGGCCAGTTCTGATATACAACGCAGAGACTTGGCTATTGCGAAAACACCGCTGTCCAAGCAGCATTGTACGAATCCGGTGGGGCAATCGGACGAGCAACGCTGAGTTCAGGTGCGGAGTTTAATTACATCCCAGTCGCCCCCTAGAGCAAGTGGGCGGTCTTCATAGGTTACATCGGTTAGGGCATGTGTTACGCCTGTCACAAAATAGGTTGCCATTCCGCGTGATATTTACCGAGGCAGGTAGTGGGTGGAAAACATTCAAGGGTGGTCAAACTAAGACTTGGCCCTGGGATATGAAAGCCATAACCAAGAGACTTGGCCATAGTTCCTGTTAGGCCCCCTGTGCAGGGGACCCCGAGATCGTGGTAACCGGTGGCTAGAGACAGAGTGATATAGCCGAGTTTCGTAAACAGTGGTGTTCGTAAATCCTCCTAGTTGCAAAGAATGCAACCTTGGTCTACTGAAATTCTCCATTTTCTCTTCGACTCTACTTGATCTTTCCTGTCTATCTCTCACTGCTTCATCCAAATAGGTAACCAAAGGATAGCGACCAAAACCGGCACATGGTTAACGGCTGAACAGACCAAACGGAGCTGAACTGAAGGCAAACTTTTGATAAACTGAAATCCACTGTCGTTTCTGATAGCCTGAATCACAAGCAACATGTGGATTCAGATACTGACGATGCGATTAGATTTTGTTTCTATGTTTTAAATGGATTATAAAAAATGTGTCATCAATGTTCCGCAATGAAAGACTGCCAAATAATAGTTTGAGGAGGAGAACTTCCGGATTGAGGTTCGGACAAATGAACTGAGACAATAAGCTGGTAGCCTAAACCACTTAATCGCCACCGTCCGACAGTCCTGACTACCGATAGTGATAAAGCGTTCACCTTAGCCTTAATAAAGGATACCTGAGCATGTAACCCGATCGGTGTGATCGGCGGTGGCTTCTGGCAGCACCAACTACCCAATATGAACACGCGATTTAGAAGCTTATGGTTCTCATTCTCATGGTAATTGTTCAAGCATCGAATTTACTGACCTTTAAGATAATCGCGTACTTGCAACACAGCAGTTCTACAACACCTCAAAATGCACCATAGACCAGATTAATCTGCGTTTCCTCTCATTTCGAAATCGGTGATCTTGGTGCATTTGAAATTATAATTCAACTCTCTGCGCACTCATCTATTCAGGACCGTTATGCATGCTTATGAACAAGCTCTGTTGGAAGCGGATGCATCTGAACGGGAACAGTGTGTTGTCACAACTGCACGAATACACCGTATCGCAGCTGAGCGTGATGAGGCCATGGAACAGGCAGCCACAATGATGAAAGCCTACGACGATATGTACCGTCGCGTGCAGCGTGCCAAAGAGTCGATTGAAACCAGGAAAGAAGTTAGTCCATTGATGTGTTGTACCTCTGTAACCAGTTGACTTTCTCAGTTTCTCTACTAAATTTCACGATCACACTGTTTTGAGCTGTGTTCTAGTATCCTCGTTAGATTCACCGAATTTTATGACCCGCTTCATAGTGAAAATTAAGTATAAAATCAAGTGTAACTTAGGCCTTCAATTAGTTGTGTTTTATCAAGGCAAACCGATATTTACCCAGGTGCACTACCTATACTTATCAAGAGTATATTGAGCTCATCCGTAGAGGTATTGAAATAAAAACCAGTGTTGTTCAATGCTCAGTTTATTAAATAGTACCATGAACAGTTTTTTTTTTGCAGAAACGAATTCACCGCACTTTTGTTGTTTTTCTGATGTTGATTTCGTTTATCATGCACTAAAAATTGATTTGCCTCCGTCTAAAAACGAGATCAATATGTGATGGTGGGAGAAGCATATCTGCGTTTAAATGCTTAATGAAGGTAGCGAAGCGAAGCGCTAGGAAACGTGAAAGAAATACTGATTGATTGATTCAAATGGGAATTCGTGGTTTGAAAATTTCCAGATTCCTTAGTGGCTTAATCCGTCAAAAGCGCTCTGTTGTCACATCGTCAATCAAGCCAGTGGTTAATCAACTCATATATTATGCATCACTTGTTAAACAAAAAGCACTGTTGTAAATGTCTTCCAGTACTTCACTTGTGAAGCAGAAACAACATTTGTTGACTCAACTCGTTATCGTTTACATTAGAGGATTCTAACGTAAGTTATGCCAAACAAATGGCTATCCTTTTCCTTATATTCCCTTATGAAAGAGGCAAAAGGCAGCTGTTCAATGTATTGAACGATATGCCAATCGAGTTCAAACAATTGGTGACAAATTTGCCAAAATGCACGGATACTACTTGGACCATCTTTCCGAAGCGCTCACGACCGTGGATCGTCAAGAGGATGAATGGCATCGAAAACTGGATAAATTACAGTTGGAACTTCGACAACACGAATTACGCAATACGACACTGGCAAATGAGATATCGTTAAAAGTGAGCTTGCATCCAACTGATTTCCTCACCCATGTTTATCAATACCCGATGTAAAACACCATTCCTGTTCTCTTTTGTCCTGGGCGGCAGCTACACAACACAGTGCTTTTGTGACCGATCTTCTCTCAGTGACTTAAGAAAAAAGGGGTGAATTGCGGTATGCATTAATTCGAGATGAAATTTGGCGGAATTGGGAGCGTGTTGAATGATTGGAATGACAAGTGTCAGTTCTGCATGCAATGGGTGGTCAGGGTCTGTGAGAATCCTCTCGGTAAATTTCACACAGGAAGTTACGTGATACTCTGAAAGCTTTACAGCTAACTCATTCACAGGAATGAAAGAGACACAACTAATAATGGTTAGACCGTGACGTAAGACTTTGAAATCCTGTTTGAGTAAACCAGGAAAAATAACCGGGGAACAGTAGAGTAAGATGGGGAAAACACATTGATGAACAAAAGTAGAAATAACTGACTGGGATGCGCGAAACTGCCTGAGCTTTAGTATTTGAAATGAAAGACGTCGCAGTTTACCAATGCAGTTGTGGATGTAAGTTGACCAATGAAGATTACCATCTATGGTTACACCAAGATATTTGACAGAGTTCTTCCTAGATAAGAGATTGTTATTATTCACTGTGGGGTCTGTCGGATAGGGAGAGCGAGCAAAGCTATATAAACACTCAACACATTTACTGGGGTTCAGGGTTAGCCCCGATGAGGAGGAGAATGACTGAATTTGATCAAGATTATCGGTGAAAGAACTTAGATCAGAGTAAGAAGAAATGGGTTGGCACAACACGACATCATCTGCATATTTCAAAATACGTGCGGGAGAAACACAAGGAATATCACAAATATAAGTGGCAACTNGTGGCAACTAAGTATGGGGATAGCACAGCTCCTTGAAGGGCCGCGGAGTTGTTGACTAAGGGTTTCGATATGGCCTTCACCAATCTAGTGGTTTGTAGCCGAAGTAGCAAATTCGGTATACTTTCTCTATCCGTTTTTACAATCGAGGCGTGGTGGGGAGCTGGACCAGAACAATCGTCCAACAGCAGCGTTTATACTTTAGAGAAGGATATCATGCCAGCGAGAATCTTTCAGAAGATTGATGGTCTTTCTTGTAAATCAGTATGATGGCCCACTCACACCATTCATGCGGACCTAATTCACTTAAAATTAGTTTGAAGCCGCTATTGTGCCATCTTTTGTGCCCTGATCGTTTATTTACATGTATCATTCTTTTCAGAGTTGATAACATAGCTTCTGTAATTATCTAGGCAGTAACGTGAAGCTCCACCTCTAGTCGCGATTAGTAACGGAATTATTATTTCAAGTAATTCATCGTCTTTATAGTCCTACTCACTATTTGGAGTTTCGGTTTTTCGTTGTAACCTGAACCTTTCTACTGTTTAACACCTTCACTGTCAAACTGCATCCTTTCATTGTTGTTCTTGTTGGATTGTGGATTGCGTGAAACGATAGAATGAATAAACTTGTCGCCTTAAGGACTACTGTTCAATCACTGCGAATGTATACCAATGTCAGACAATCAGTGTGATGTAGCCGGAGTGGTCCCTCTTGTTCCGATGGCATCGATACCCACGGCTTGGTTCCTATCCGCAAAGATCAGTGCGAATGAAAAGCCAATTAGGTTTTCCAATGACCTTGTAGCTAGCTAGTTATACAGTGCCTCGTTCGTGCTCTAACACGTCAGCCATCCAGTGCTAGATCATTCTATCTGAATAAACATGAGACCTGATCAATAATCTCATCATACTGCGCGCCGATGCACTTATGGTAATCCACGTGCCAGTCGCGTATAGGTGTTTTTAATGGTGCTTCATATCCTTGTGACCCTAAAATTGACCCAAGTGAGCTCATTTTCAACGATTCTTCGCTACAGTGAGAGTGAGAGCAATCTCACTCACTGACCTCGGTTCATGAATGAACCCTCTTATTTAGATTCGTCACAACTATCGCACTACCCGGATTTATGGCTATCGGAAACATTGACATTGGTTCAATTGAAATCAGAGTACTAAAAACAATTTTGAGCACCATATCATCAATAGTCTCATGCGAAGTAACACCATGTACAGTGCTTCTTCACTTTAAACCAGATCATTACGGAATGTTCTATCATAATTGCCCACATAATACATAAGTTTCAATTACAATATTTTTTGTGTCGATGTTTGTGTATTTCACAAATTGAAATTTAGAACCTAATACCATGAAATACAGAGATGGTACCTTCCTCTGGTGAACTGCGTGCGAAATTCTAAGGCTGTTCCTAGGCTTGAATGTTTCAGCTCAAGCTATAACGCTCAGTCTAGACTGTCTGCTTGCATAAGGCCATGAATCAGCGAAGTGTGCGCAAGATGGTTCTATTGACCAACACTAAAGTGTTGAACTCAATTCACGTTTGGGTTAACAGTGTGAGTGTCCTAAGCTCGGTTCCAGCTTTTGTGCATGATACAGATAAAATAGTTGCACATTATAACCGCCAAATCCCAGACTCAGTTGACTATCACTACGAGACTACACCTTGACGTGGTATGATGGCTTGTGCACCTCTGTGACCCAACGAGCTACACAGGATGGCTTTATAAAGCCAGGATATCTTATCATGCCTGGAAGGTCAATGGATAGAGGTCAGACGAAGTTCAGTCTCCTGGTCCTCCAGGTTGGGGGTTCGCTTGNGATCCAAGTAAATGGGCCTCCACTTCGCCTCATCCGCTGCCTTGCGGTTAGGTTCTTGTTAGAACTAAAGGCTTTGGACGAGAACCCTAATCGTTCTCCTGCTTAGTGACTGGACACTCTAGCAGTACCCGTCCACCAAACCCCAATGCATACACAAAATAAAATTAATTTCATACTGCATCGGTCGTCGCGCAGGATAATCAGGACGGCGCTGCCCATTGCATCGAGC